AACTGATTAATTTTAGCCCATTCTTCAGACATTCTTTAGGAAGTTGAAAGATATGCAAATTGCATGCATTTTATCTGCTTGTTTCAAAAGCAGCAGTATGAAACCTTTGTGACCGGAATTTACTGCCAGCATGTCTGCTTTTTTCCCCAGAGTCCTTTATTATAAGAAAATATCCCAAGGAGTGCCTCAACCTCCTTGAGGACCTATTTCAGATGACATATTTTCTATAACAGATTTTATTTTCTGTAAGAGTCTAGAACCATCTTTTTCTCATGTTCTGTTTCACCTTTACCTGCTTTCTTTATTTCCTCAAAATTAATATATCAGGGTTTTTCTGAACTACCTGAATTGTGTGAGATGAGGGTTTTTTTAACTACACTAATCAGTTATAGCTACTGAACCTTTTAAAAGGAGATTAATTCAGTAGCCTAAGCTGAAGTTAAGTCACTTTTATCAAATGAACTGAGTTATATGGTTAAAAGCAAGTAACCCCTCCCAAAACATACAGTAGGTAGCAGTTTAAGTGTCAAGAAAAACGGAGTGAAATTTTGACACTCTGATGTCTAGCAGATAGCACTTAAATCATTTTTCTCCAAACTTCAGTCATAAAAAGTTCAAAGAGATTTAGCCATAATACAAATTTTTAGACTAAGAAGTGGTGTTTGAAGTTATTTTATAGGATTTTGCTGTAAGGGCTCCAATTGATTTGTAGTAAGATGAAAGAAGAAAACTTTATTTTTGAAGCTTTGTCGGAAAAAGCTTAGCTTCCATTGGTCGTTTTGCCAATATGCCTGGAGGGGAAGATGATGTCGACATGGATATTATATGCCTATCCAAACTGAGCGGAGTTTACACCTCCTGCTGTTTGTGTTATGGTTAAAATCTGTCATAAACTGGCAGTGATTTATTCAATGTTTAATGAAGGAAGACAAAAACTTAAAGAACTACAAACAGAAAAGTAGAACATCACATTAAAGAATAATATAGGTTACACATCTAATTTTGGGGGTATTTCTTTTGTTAAAGATACCAGAAACATAATTAGAAATCAAGAGAATATCAAAAGATGATAGGATTGGTACATCATTCTAACAGAAACTATTCATTCTTTTACTTTTTAGTTCCCTCCCCCCACCTCATAGAACAATGGAGAAGAAAAGAAGAAAAGATAAAAATCGATAAAGAATCTCAATTTCCTAAAAAGGATGCCTTTGAAAAACCTCCAGTAGGTTACATTATACAGCAAAACTCAGCTAGATTGGCTATTTTCATTACTGAAAATCGCTCACTTCAGAATATTTTTTCCCCTTGCAATAGCAGCCCAAGATTCAAATACGCTACATTCCTTTAAAGATCCATTCACTTCTTTTTATTTTCTTTTAGAACAAGGACAGGTAACCTAATCCAAATCAAATCCCTATAACTGGGATAGGAAAGCATGTCCAATTGAAAGAGACAACACAAAGGAAGAAAACAACCGCTTTTTAAAAAAATTGAATATATTTTATATACACTAAAATATTATTTCAATCCCAATCATTAAAAAAATTGTTTCGAAGATGTTAGGCAGGACTAGATCCCAGTGTCATAATTTGTACACTAACACATTGATTGCTCACCTAGACAATACCATCGACCAAAACATGAAGTAAACATCTTATGACATTCATATATACCAACAGTGTGGTAATTCTCTCTCCAACTTAAGTAGGTCTGAAAAGGACATCACACATATTTGTTTCTTAATGTGACAAACATTTTTTTTTCAAATCAACTATGATAAAACTAAGATAATGAAAAAAGATTAAGGCTGCAAAATTAGACAATAAATAAGCCCAGCTTAAAATAAGTAACCCATTTCAACCACCTTGAAGTAATATTATTGGTGTCAAGGAGGAAATGTGCCAACGGAAAGTATTTGTTACAAGATACATCCAATTCACTATTGGTCATCCAGATTTTTGGGGTCTTTTTTTATCCACAGGGCCCAGTTACTCCTGCTGCAATAAAAAAATCTTCTCAGCAAAAGTTTGAGTGGAGTTCCTTTTTGGTTGCAACTTGGTATATATACTAACTTCTCAAAGATTGGGCATTTAGTTCCTAAAAAAAATATGCTTCAAGAATCTCAGTGGGTGCCCAGTGCCACTCTCCCTAAAGTTGAAGCCAATCAATATCTTTGAATGTTGTCTAAAATTTATATTCTTTTCTGTAGGCTTGATCCCACATGGGTTACATGATTCCCCTTCATTACAAAATGAACAATGGAACTGGAGAAGAGGCTTCTATCATTGTTATTCTCTCCTCATGCTTTGATCACAATGTGGTACAACTCAGTTAAGAAGAACGTCAAACAACGGGTGTCTGATATGGCAAAAACAAATTGAGAACAGCCTAATCCCTGCTGATCTAAACTTAGGCAATCAAGTCATCAGATATAAGCCTGCTGAACAGCTCAGTCAAATTGTTATAACAGAATTGTGAAGAACTTTAACACTCTGTGAACTGCAGTTTGGAAGAGAGGTTCCAAATATTTCCATACTAAGAATCTTTTGTCATTGTATATCAGGAGCTATTGAAACAAGACCTTGCATATTTTTCTATTGTCAGTCTTACCACAATGTGCACACCAGTGGTGGGATTCAAAATTTTTTACTACCAGTTCTGTGGGCATGGCTTGGTGGGCGTGGCAAGGGAAGGATACTGTAAAATCTCCAGTCAGAGGCGGTACTTGCCAGTTCTCCGAACTACTCAAAATTTCTGCTACCGGTTCTCCAGAACTGGTCAGAATCTGCTGAATACCATCTCTGGTGCACACAAACCTATTGCGCCTTTATTATCTCAACTTTCAATTTATGCTGACTCTTTTTTCCCTTAATTACCTATCTGAGCAGAGTGATGAATTCTCTTACAATGTCACTGAATTCTGTTTAATAGCTGGCAAGATCTATCAGAAACCTCACGGGAAATGTTTGATTTGATTATATATTTTTTATTTGCCTTATTTTACTTATTATCCTATTCTTTCACTAATCTTATTTTATAAATCTACAATACTCTAATTTGGTAAAGCATAATGTATTTGGGCTAATACTATTTCAAATAGGAATTTTTGATTTCTAAAATTGGGGATAGAGTTTCTGTAAATAAGGAGCCACCACTAAGAAAACTTACTCTTTATTTTTAAAGCACTTTCTATGAAAGAATAAATCTATTGGTGAAGGGCCCCGTTTACCAATAAAAGCAAGTAAGCACTAGAATATGATACAGGGCATTCATTTATGGACTGGGAGTCTAACTATATAAGGCTTTGAAACACCTGTACCTTGGGGGTGGGAATTAAATCTACATTTCTGTAGCAGTGCATCTGACATTATAAAATGTCTAGAGGTCACCCACAATGTTTATTAAAATCCTTTTTGAGGACTTTATTGATTGTTCAATAAATGACTACTTCTGCTTCATTCACTCTGGAATGAAATTGGCCAGATCAGAACTGATGCATAGATTGAACATGTATCTGCTAGCTTTGAGGGTTTAAAAAAAAAAAGAATTTAAGTTAGCTCAAGTGACTGCTGGAACCATTCTGCTTCCTTATTAGTGACTGCCTAACTGCCACATGACACAGAAGGTAGGTTATGAACCAGGAACAAGGAAATCCAGCAACTCAGCACGTGCTCAGTATAGGGTGATCAAAAAAACCCATGATGCACCAGGTTATGCCAGTATGTGGAAGGAGATGATTGGTCCTCCGTATGGGCCAGTATGTGGAAGGAGATTATTGGCCCTGATTAGCAAACAATGTAACTGTTCTTATTACTTCTTGTTAATAAAAGAGCAGGCCCCAAACTGTTCTGGGCTTGCTCACTTGCTCATTCATTCCAAGGAACCTGGCTCATGTCATTTTTCCTTCTCGGCGTTGCAAGGCCTACCCCATGAGCGGCCCATTAGATGCGGGATGAAAAAACCCGCATTCTGGTGACCCCGACGTGATCCACTCCAGGGTGCGTCTCGGACCGCTCATCCTTACTCGCTCGAAGGGAGCTGCGCATTCGTCTGGCCTGAAACACGACCACGACTCCGTAAGTATGGGCGGAAAATTCTCTCAACAACAGACGGAGCATCTGAAGGAATTGAGAGAATTAACCGAATCCTCTTCCAAATTATTAAAAGCCTCAGGGAAGCCCACATCCCTTGTTAAAAAACGGCAGATAATTGATCCGCTCCAATATATTTGGCTCCATTGTCCCACCTACCCCGAAAAGGGTTCTCTTAAAATTAGCACTTGGACTAAAATTGGCGAATATCTCCATACAGTCCCCGAGCTCCAATTGGCATTTTAACAGCCTGGAGACATGTTATGGAATGTTTAATGGTCCATCATAAATTCTCATCTCAAAATTGTCCTGGGGATGCCTTGCCACCTCCAAATTATGAGGACTATCCCCTTACACACACAGGGCCAACAGCCCACAACATCACACCTTCTTTCAAGGAGCCTCTAAAGGCCGACCCACCTCCTCCTGCTTCGTGTGTCTCCACTAGGAGAAAAGGGGGGTCGTCTAACACAAGCCATCCAAATGGCTCCTCATAGCATTTTACCCTTCATATTATTCCTTTTCTTCTTTCACCCTGTGCTCACTTCACTTTCTGTCTCTCCCGCGGTCATGTTTGCCCCATTCAAAGCTGAGATAATTTTTCATTATAAACTGCCACGTCCCCCTCACGGCTGCCCCATCGCTTGCCTTTTTAAACAAAAGCCCGTCTTTCCTTCTCCCTACACACGGGAACAGCGCTATTCTAATTTCCAATATTGTTTTCTTGACCTTCACATCCTTTCTCACCCATCTACAATAGGATCCTATTCCTGCCTTGCCTTTTCCACCTTGCCTAACGGCACTCAAATCCAATTTTCCATATCCGCTCAACTCTACACCCCTTACTCCTTCCACTATCCTCCCATTTCCCCCTTCTTTTCTCTTTGGTCCACCCTACCTCAACAAATGCCTGCCATCTCCATCTCGTTGCACGGCCATTGTGATGACTCCATCCTGTGGGATCCACCTGCCAACTTCCGTCAGTGGCTGTCTCATCGACTCTCCTTGATCTGCCACATCTGCAACAACCAGTTTCGCTTCCAACTTTCCTCCTGCCCACCGCTGACATTACACCGCTGCACAACTGCTCCTACACCGTCGCTGTATGCCCGTGGCTGTTTCCTGCATGCCTCTATGGTTCCTCAGTTTCCGTCAATACCCGCACCTGCTCGACATCGTCGCTCGAAGGACACTCAACTTGCTCATCGCTCCTTCAACATCACCTGGACTATTAAAGATACTTATGGGCAGATTCTAAACTCCACTTCTAACTACACTCGATTGGACTCTTATTTTCCTTCCCTCCACTTCGACCTGGCTGAAATGATCCTGGGACAAATGGTATACAGGGAAGAGACTGGATCTCTTACTCCAAATCTTCAATGGGTCCAGGATACTCCCTTTTATGTATGCCCTGGACATGACTCCATTCCTGCTCACATCTATATGTGCGGAGGGGTGGCGGACTGTTTTTGCAAGGGTTGGTCTTGTGTCTCTACTGGACAAATGTCATGGTCACCCCCCTACAAAAATGACTTGATCATAATCCGCCGTACTACCGGCCATTATCCATCATGCCACAAGTATGCTGCCCGACCATGGAATCGGTGCAACCCCGTCACAATCACCTTTACAAATGCAGGGAAAAGTAGTAAAAAATGGGACACTGGGGTTAAATGGGGGGGTCGTATGCATGCTTCATGGCCCGGTTATCATTATGGCAATGTTTTTTATATCCAGCGTTATGTTTCTCTCCTGCCCTCCCCTCCCTTAGGACCAAATGCTGATCAGATTCAGTCTTCTTTTCTTCAGCCACTAACCAATCAACAGCACCCTTTGCTAGGATTGCTCTCCTCCTCCTACCAAGCTTTGAATTCTACTAACTCTACCCCTTCTTCCCAATGTTGGCTGTGTGTCTCCTCTATCCCTCCATTTTATGAAGCGATTGGCTCAATTGAGCCCATTGTCAACGTTACTAATGATTCCTCATGCCGATGGAGATGGAGAAATAGCTCTCTCACTATTACGTCAGTCATTGGTCAGGGATGTTGTCTTGGTAACATTCCTCAAAACTATTCTCAATATTGTGCCAATGCTACTACTGGTAAATATCTCTGTGATTTATATCTCCCACAATCCAGAAATCCGATCGCTGCAGGCTACACTCAGGTCTTTTCCACGGTGAGTGGTGCTAACATCACTCTGCGCCTTAAAGGTCAATATTTTATTCCTGGTAACAATTCCCTTTGGGCCTGTTCTACCGGTCTCACGGCCTGTGTTCATGGAGATGAGCTAGTTAAAAGTAATTCATTTTGCATTCAAGTACAATTGCTTCCAAAAATAGATGTGTATACCTCTGATGATTTCATTTCTATCTTAGAGCCTCATCAATATCATTTAAAAGCGAAAAGAGAGATTGTCACTGCTCTAACATTATCAGTCCTCTTGGGTCTTGGTGCTATGGGTGCCTCTACCGGCATTGCAGCACTAGCAGTTAACCAGAATCAACTTCATCAACTCAGTGCCACCATTGATGAAGACCTCAGGCGCATAGAAACCTCAATTGTAGCCTTGCAGAACTCTCTCACATCCTTATCCGAGGTAGTAATACAAAATAGACGAGGCTTAGATCTCCTATATTTAAAACAAGGGGGATTATGTGCAGCACTTAAAGAAGAATGTTGTTTTTATGCGGATAGCTCTGGAATTGTTCTAGACTCTATGAAAGAGCTTGATAAAAGGTTAAAAGAAAGAGAGCTTGAAAGGTCCTCGCAATATGCTTGGTACCAGGGACTATTCTCATGGTCTCCTTGGCTTACTACGCTTCTCTCTGCCCTAATTGGACCTATAATATTACTCATATTACTTTGTACCATTGGACCCTGTGTAGGCACTCGCCTACTAAAATTTGTCAAAAAACGCTTAGCTGCTATAGATACTGATATCAATATGCTTGTAAACATGCGCTCTGGTGATAAGGACGAACAACTGTCACTATTGGCTTATCAGTCCAAAACTGAGGACGCGTCTGATACACCCCCGGACCAGAGCTATGGTAAGAAACCTCCTTCCCCTGAGAAAGCATCCTTCCCTCTGGCATGTTTGGAGCTCCATGATAAGGTTCCGCCACTGTTCAGTGACAGTGAGCAGGATAGCTCCTAAAAACAAATAAAAACAGAGGAGATGCTGGAACCATTCTGCTTCCTTATTAGTGACTGCCTAACTGCCACATGACACAGAAGGTAGGTCATGAACCAGGAACAAGGAAATCCAGCAACTCAGCACGTGCTCAGTATAGGGTGATCAAAAAAACCCATGATGCACCAGGTTATGCCAGTATGTGGAAGGAGATGATTGGTCCTCCGTATGGGCCAGTATGTGGAAGGAGATTATTGGCCCTGATTAGCAAACAATGTAACTATTCTTATTACTTCTTGTTAATAAAAGAGCAGGCCCCAAACTGTTCTGGGCTTGCTCGCTTGCTCATTCATTCCAAGGAACCTGGCTCATGTCATTTTTCCTTCTCGGTGTTGCAAGGCCTACCCCATGAGCAGCCCATTAGATGCGGGATGAAAAAACCCGCAAGTGACATTCTACTTTTTCTACATGTGTCTATGGTCTTCCCTCCTATTTTAAATGTAAATGATAATAGACTGATGATTTCATTCAAAAGCCAAACTAGTCAAAGATTGCATGATTGAATGGATGTCGATTTTAAACAAAATAATTGATATGCAATAACAGGAATATTGTTAGGAAACAAATATTACATTTACTGCAAATATTACACTTAGAGAAAAGTGCAATTTTCCCATTGGTATGTTACTTCAGTGCTGGTTGCCAAAATAGATAAATAGCTGGGAACACAATGAAGTTGAATTTACTTTTATTCATATGTAATGTCGTATAACCCTAGAATTATGGAATAACTATAGAATGAAGCAAATCTTACTTAATGGCTTTTTTCCCTGCCAGCTTTTTCCTGATATCATTAAATGTTACAGTCATATAAAGAATGCAAAATTGATTTTGCATATGATAACAGCTGCCAGGAGTCTCCATGCTTCTTATTGGAAATTATATATCATTTCTTGTTTAGAAGAATGGCATACTAAACTGTGGGAACATGCATCAATTTCCACTATGCATGGGTAGATGATGTTTAATCATGTTATTAAACAAGCTGGCTTTATTGATTAACTCACAACCTCTGGGTTGAAATCAGATAAGAATTAGACAACCTCTGCCCCATTGGCTCATTGTTTCAGTGATATTTCTTTCCTAAATAGAGAAATGGAATGGCAAAAAAAATGGGTAGGAAAAAAAGCAATGGGAGCAGGAAGGACTTTCGACTTCCTGCTAGCTTCCCCATTTAGTTTCCTTGTGGGAAGGATCAGGGACCATCAGAAATTTTCCTGCCTCCCCTTCCCTTTTCAGCAGGCAGAAGTGAAGGATTGTGAGACTGGTTGGGAAGCTGTCACAGAACATTGAAAATATAGGTTTTGTGACTGCAGCAGCCCAGCAGCAACCAGTAGCACTGAAACAGCCACCACGTTCCAATATTTCATTCCTTTGAGAGTCATGGGTTCCAAATTTTGGACACACATTCTGTAAGTTAGCCCATTTTAGGTACCTTGGTTTAAAAATTATTGCCCTATGATGCACTGTTTCCCCCATTAAAGGTATGGCCGTGAGAGTTTTAGTAGTATATAAAGGCTATGCTAGATAAGAATGTCATAAGAATAAGTGCTTCAGAAGGGAAAGAAACTCCAAAGTTCATTTTTGTGGGTTTGGTGACATGCATCATTTCCAACACCTATCACAGGATCAGTACCTTCAACACCTCATTAAATAACAAATTAAGTATTTTCAGTGTATTAAGACAAGTCATCTAAAATTCCCAGAAGATATCTTTTTTAGCAATTTTATGGAAAAGAGTACAAGGCAAGGAGATGGAATTTTGCAGAAACCTACAATATAAACCCCAAAGGGCTGAGCTTCATCCCTTTGGAATTGCCCTTTGATATCAGTCATCCTAGTACAAATAAAACTACAGGAGTTCTATAACTTCAATCTCTAAATGGAAGATATGAAAAGTGCTTGTATTAAAAGCTGTAGGGGGTTCAGAAAGCGTTATCTTAACATAAGCTATCAATTAAATTTAGCAATTAGATAAATCAGATCCGTTTCTATTGCAAAGTATCCCTATGTAAGTGTGATGACCCAGGGCATGGCACAAAAATAACAAAGCCACCAAAGTAGATAAATTCCCTTTAATGCCTCCAACTTGGCCCCAATGTCCAGTTATCCTCGGCTGGAGATCAAACTCTTCTAAAAACAGTCTACGAAGGGAAGAAATGCAGTCTGAACCCAAAGTAAAGATAATTAGAAATAAAAACAACACAAACCACGCTGAAGTTATTAACATGACAGGCCAGGATGATAAATTGCAGACTTCCAAAAGATAACGCAGCACCTACAGTTGGGAGGACGCCAAAACCCAGATAAGCCTCGACAAAGATAATGCACGCTTTGCTTCCAGCAACTTTGCCATGTGCAGTTTGCCTTTTTAAACAGTTTTCCCAGCTGCAGCCCATGAAGGGATCAGGGCCCTTTCCTCCCCCATAAATCACATTGCTCCCTTATCCATTCCTCCCTGCGTGCCTTAGGATGAAGAGGGGTGGGCCTGGGTCTTCCTCTGAATGCCCAGCCAGCCTGTGCCCTTCCCCAGTTTCCTCCACAGCCACCAGAGCCACATTCCCATTCCCTGTCAGCTGTTCCACCTCTCCTTTGGAATCAGATTCCAACTGGGCATGACAATAAGAGTCACTTTGGTGTAGTGGTTAAAGTATCAGCAACTGGGAGGTGCTGAATTCTAGTCCTGCCCTATCACAAAACCAACTGGATGAGTTTGGGGCCAGTCACTCACTCTTAGCCTTAGAAAGTAAACATTTCAAAAAAAAAGTTTGCCAAGAAAACTGCAGGGACTGGTCCAGTTGCCAAAAGTCAAAGTTGACTTTAAGGGACTCCCTCACACCATCCCAAAAAAGCATTTCTGTGTACATGATGCTGTGGAGGGGAGGCAAACTAGTTTGGCAAATACCAACCAAGATTTTACAGCAAAAACTTTAGCAAAGGGAATAAACAGAAGAAAAATAAAAGGCAGAAATAAAAAGACAAAAACTATATTATTGTTTTAATTGCTCATAGCTCACCTTATTTACAAAGACATTGGAATTAAATGGTTAATTCCAGTGTTGTGAAAAGATTTAAGAAGGAGAGATGGTTGCAGCAAAATGTTTTGGCAAGCAATTCTATGCATAAAATGCTTACAGAGGTCTTGGCTCTGAATCATCTATATATATGTATGCATAGTATATTAGGTTTCTTGTGCAGGTGTACATTTTGTACAGGATAATGTTATGTTCACAAATAGCTTGTTATGAAGTAGTCATTCTGAAACTAGTGAGCTGCTTTGCTAAAAATAATTTCTGGCTATGGTGCATTGACAGTAAGTTAACAATGAAGATTTTGTTTGCTATAAAATTTTGGTTTTTATTTTGTTCTCTAATTTATTTATTTATTTATAGTTTTCATAATGGAATTCTCTTTATCCATTAGCATACTGTTTCTAAACTATCACTTCTCCTTCTTAAAAACCAATTGGCATGAGATGAAAAATGAAGCAATGCCCTTGTTTTTTGAATATCCAATAAAATTCTCTCTAGCTTTTAAAATACTGCATTCGTATCTCCTGGGAATGCTGGAAAATGCCCTTGCTATTCATATTTTATTTTTCACTCACTTTCCAGAAGCATATGTCTTAATATTTCACTTAAATTACGTGCAAATATTTTACTTCATAAACTGATCTTTAAGTACAGCACATTAACTTCAGAGTACAACCAAAGGAAAGGAATCAGAAAGGAAGAGGAGAGGAGTGAAATACTTAGAGCATGTGTTTTGAAAGAATAGTAATCCAGCTTAATTATTGAAAAATAATGAGATCATAAACAAAGAAAATGAGCAAATATCTTTCTCTGAAAGGCCAGTCATTTGGTTTAAATTCAAGAAGTGTCCTTTATCTTTTGCTTATGACATGCATAAATCTGCAAGTACCAAGTTCAAACACTGTAGTTTGTACAATAGATATGTTCAGTGCCAATAGTTCTATGTAATTCTCAAATGAATGCTCAGTCGGGAAAGTGGGTTATAATAAGCCTTCGATGGGCATATGTCTGAATGAAGGCAAGGTGATACCTTTTTGCCATTCTCAAAATCTCATTCATCCGTATGTATGATCAGTCAGATCACACAACACTTTTAGGTCAAAGGTAACTCACATCAATGCTGTGAAGAAGCCTGATTTTCATTAACAAAGTTGTTCAGTTGGCATCCTTGCAAGTGTCCTAGCATTTTAGGAGTCAAAGTGGGCCCCTGAAAATGTGATATTTCATTTCACAAATTTAGTCACATCAGCAACAAATAGCTGTAGAGAAAAATTAAGTGTCCTAAAGTCTATGAAACTGAGATTAAAGTGTTATATTTGGACCTCAAAGGTAACCATATAACAATATGTCTGGGCAACTCCTTTAGGAAAAGGATAGGAATGAAAAAGGCAGAAGCAACAAATTTAGCACCACACTACTATTATTACTAACTACTATTAAAAGTAATAATGAAAGCAGAACCTTAGAGAAAAATCTGGATGTGGTGGTGTGTACCCATTGCTATTTATACAACCATCTCCCACATTCAAATCCAAGGAAACAAACAGATATTGAAAAGGAGTTTGAACTTCCTTCCACTTCAATCCCCTTGGTTTTTTTCCTTTCTTGTTTGGCTCACTTCTCGAAGCTAAAAGTTAAGGGGAGAAGATTTATCTCCCCATTGTTTGTGTAAACCATTACGTATAAAAATTAGGCATCCCCCATGCTTTTCAGTTGCCTGCTTGAACCATGAGGGAGACGATCAATAAATATGAAAGACTAAAGAAGTAATTCTCTTAGGCAAGAATGGGGAAAGAGTTCATGAAAAACCTTTGACTTCTCAAAATTGTAGCTAAATCATGTTCTTTTAAACCATCGGTAATGGGTCATTATAGAAATAAGATTGCTGGGACCTCCAGCCAGGCACTTTTGCCCAAACTCAAAGTGATTTCT